TATCACTCAAAAATAAGGTGGTAGAACAGCTCTGAATCCCACTGTTTCTCAGATTTTGTGATGTGAACATCGAAAATGTAGCACTTTTTCCCCACTTCTTTTCATAGATTTAACCACCTATAATAGCAATGGGTCATCTTTCTTCACCATCTTTAAACCTACTGATCATAAGGACACGACCCAACATAATTACAAGCAAAGAAGGGCTTGCCAAATGCCGAGATAAAATACATTTTGTGATTAATTTTCCTCAGTTTACAGTGGCTTGTTTACAGCTCACAACTTTGCAACTCTCCCAATTTGAGTACAAATTAGTGGGTTTCAATCCTACATTATCCCTGGGAATTAGTATGTTACACAGTGGATCGTGTCTCCTGCAGTGCATGTCGCTGGGTAAGAGCAGCTTCCTCCTGTTGCAAGTTTGCTCTCTCCTCTCTCAGGTGCTGGGTGGTTTTTCTCCCTGTTTAGCTACCTCACTTTCCCTCCTCCCGCAAAGCGCTTCTCTGGGCTCTAGACTACTGCTCAGTCTTCACCCAGACCTGCTGCACCACCTGTCCACCAGCATCTCCTGCTTGCTAAGAAGGTCTTCCCAATTCATTTTCAAGTCAAAAGCATGTTATGGGGGAATTTTCTGTGAACCCCCTGCCCCCAAACCTCTTTCCTTCCTTTGGGACACAGCCTGGGAGGTTCTTTATCCCAGTGAAGTTCATGTACCTCCAGGGGCTGGGCAGCATCTCTGTCCCGCACCACTCTGCGGTGAGGGGACACCCCTACTCATGCAGGACTGTCCGGGGTGCCCGTGCCCCAGGAGTCATCCCACACAATGATGAAGCACCATTTGAGCCTGATGACTCCTCTCTGACCCTTCTGATGTCTTCCCCTCTGGCCTTACCCGGTGTTTCCTCTCCCTCCCCATCTCTGCCTATCCAGCCTCTTTTCTCCTCAGTCTCACCCAATGCATAGGCTCTGTTGCAGATCCAAGCTCTCTTTGCCTCTGCCCCACTTTCTCTCTGCAGAAACCTTCTGTATGTTTGTGTGTACAATCCCCAGACCCTTTCTGCCTCCACCCCATTCCCTGACCCAGCACCCCCCACCTGGTTTCTGCGTTTAACATGATGCTGATGTGGTATGAACCCAAGTTACTAACTGGTCATAAAACAGAGGGAGAAACAAAACCTAGTCAAATATTTAGGCATAGGTCTTTAATAAGACCTTTACACTTCTCACAGCTCTTTAGTTGTACCAATACACCTTTGCCATTCCCAAGTCCTCCCCGCCAAGGCTTTGTCCCCTGCAGGGAATTGGGCTGCCTCTGCTGCTCTCACCTGGTCCTTCTGCCTTGGGCAGCATTTTGTCAGGGCCTTGCTCAGCCATAATTTTACAGGCAGACCAAGGAGAACATGGCTCCTGCCATTTCCCTGCCCAGCATGACATGAAGGCTGTGCAGCATAGTGGGTGCAGGACGGGAGGCACCGCACAAGCTGCCCACTAGTGTCCACCCAGGGATGAGGAGCCGAGAACCAAGTGCCATGGCACGGCTGGCAGGGATGAGAGAGTTTTCGTCACTTTCATTACTACCCAATTAAAAGTCTGAAACGAAATAATCAAAGTCCTGCT